CCATGGCTGCAGAAAATTCCTGGATTTTACCCCAAGATGCCCCCTCTGAGTGTGAGAACTCCTCCTCGGCCCGCTCCCATAGCAACTGTTCCCTAGCTACCCAGCCGCACTTGCTATTCTCATCCCTGTGCAGCTGTGTGCAGCCCCCCCTGGCACTGCGCCCCTGCCGCTGGCCCCGGACCCCAAAACCACCCTGCATCCACCCTGACCAGGCTGCTCCCCTTTGCGCACTCCCCCATGGTGACTGTCGTGACCCTAACCCTGCTGATGCAGTGTCCCCCCCTTCAAGGGGCTGTCCCTTGGGCTAAGGAAGCAGTGCTCCATGCTGGCACAAAGTCCCCCTCTGCACAGTTCCCCCCCAAAGCAGCGATGCACAGCACCCAGAGGGGAGCAGGACTCTGCCCTCGGCCCCACAGCACACCTGTGACAGCCCAGGAGGGGCTGTGCCGAGGACAGACAGGGGAGCAAGAGGACATGCTCCAAAGGGCACCACAGCAGACACCAGCACCCCAATGGCACAAGGCCTTGTACCTGTCATGCCCCTGTGCCGACCCAAACCATCCAAGAAGCCACCAAGCGTCACTCATGGTCCCCAGGGCTCAGCATCAGCCCTTGCCCTGGAGGGCAGCCCCAGCCCCTGCCTGCAGAACAAGAGTGTAAGGCAGAGCCCATGGCAGCCCAGGAATGGGGGTCCCTGCTCCTCTCCTCCTTACAGCCACCAACCCTGTACAGCCCAGAGTGAGCCCCCCTTGATGTGACAGCAATACAAGGCACGGCGAATCTTACACTTAACAAAAGGTTAAAAATTTAAATACTCTCCAACTTTAGTGCAAGGCAAGCAAATGATACCACAGGTCCAAGTAGGTGCTCAGCCCCGCCGGGGGGCCTGGCTCAGAATGAGCAGGAGGCAGCAGTACGCACACGTGTGCGTACATACACACAGAAAAGACGAGTTATTGCTCAGGACACAGCTGGGACAAGTGTGCACAAGAGGGGACAGGACAAGTAGAAGAGAGGGGGGTTGAGCCCCATGCTGCTCCCCAGGGACACGCAAGGCTCCAGCCCCTCCACTCCTGCCCTGCCTTTGGGCACAGCCCCACTCACTCTTGGGTCACAGCTCACAGCATGACCCTGGCAAGGGACATTCCCTTTACCATGGCTTTGCTCCCTGAGAGCAGGGTCCCTTACGTGTCTACTCCTCCAACACTGAGCTGGGCCTGGGGACTGCAGCATCCCCAGCATGCACAGACAGCTGGTCCAGAGCTGGTGGAACTGTGCAGGGGCCATCCGGCACCATGCCGGAGATCAGACCAACCCTTTGGACCCAGCAGCCGGTACCTTCTGAGGAGGTGCCATGGGAGCGGCTGTGTCCTGTCGTTCTGCAGGCAGCCTGCCGGCGGTCTGGAGGGGGCCAGGATCAGCTCTGCAGAGCTGGCAGCATGTGCGAGACAAGGCAGGAGGAAGCAGGCTCCGGCAGACAGGGAAGAGAGGATGAGGCAGTGATGCTCTGCTGCCAGGATGCAATGGTAGATGCTTTGGCACAGCCGTTTCCTGTGCCTCGGGGCTGAGCAATGGACTCCGCTGGAGCCAGGGACAGCCCAGCACGGCCAGAAAGGTCCAGGAAAGACGCTTTAAACAGCTCAAGGCACAGAAGGCCTTTGCCTAGGACTCCCTGGTACAAAGCTGGGACCGTCACTCCCCCCATAGGAGGACATTTGTGCCTGTGACAGGGTGGGGGCAGTGCAGGCCCCCACCTACAGATTAAAAACTGACATGTGATATGTACAGACCAACATATATAAATATACACCAAACCTGCAGTGCCACTTTGGCACTGTGGAATGTGTCAGCAGAGCTGCTCCAGCCTGGCCTTGGCCCACGCCGGTGCAATCCCTCCCTCCCACCCTGGGTCCGGGAGGGGAGCGGCAGCTGGCGGGCGGCAGCAGCACAATCCCAAGGGGCAGATTAAGAAGGATCCAGGTCTGTCTCAGGGACGAGGGCTTGCGCACGGTCAGAGGCACCTCAGCACGACCCGTGTGCTGCCACCAGCCCTGGAGCCATCCTCACAGTCTTCAAATACAGACATGTAAAGCTGTAAACAAATCCACCTTGCGGGGCCGCTGCTACCTTGTCCTTCAGGCTGGGTGGTTGTTCTGCTGGGCACCCGGAGAGGCAAGGGGGTCCCAAAGGCTGGAGAACAAGCTGTGCTCTACAGCCGGGTGGGCTCTTCCTCACTGTCGCTGCAGTTTCCACAACAGTCCTGAAGTCAGAGGGGCAAGGAGAGGGAGGAGGGAAGAGAGAGGAGCACAGCAAGCAGAGGGTGAGCACAGTCACATAACCCAGCCTACAGCTGCCCTCCGGCGGGGAAGAGCCAGGCCCCCCGCCGGCCTGCGTGTGGGAGAGCTGCACGGAGGCAAGGGGCTCGAGGGGATCCCCAGTCTGCAGAGAAACAGTCAAGCTGCATCTGGGGGTTCAGCTCCTGGCAGAGACTGCTGAGCACACAGCTGACTAGTTCAGAAGATGGGAGGAAGATTGGCTCTGTGAACTACAGCCACGCAGGGAGACAGCTCAGTGCCAGCACAGACGATCTGCCCCGCTCAGGGGTCAGCCGGCTGCAGAAGCAGCTGAAGTCCTTTTTGCTGGATCGGGAGTCTGAGCACCGGGCAATGCCAAACCCTTCATCGTTTCTCAACCCTTCTGTGTGTCCCGGACATCCGAAGAGAGGAGTGAAGGAAACTTCCCACAGCCCCCTGGGAGCAGAGCTCCCAGCAGTGGTGGTGCAGGGGCAGCTTTTGCTCAAGCTGAGGGCAAGGCCTCCCCCACAAAGGCAGCGAGAGCAGGGAAGCGGGATTAGTGGCTCAGGGGACAGTTAGAACAACAAGCAGCTTGTGCTCTGCTGGGGGAAGGGGATAGGCACTGAAGGACAACACTCCTCTTTCCCAGATCTTGCCATGTCCGCGGGCCACCGGGTATTTCCCTGAGCAGAGCAGCCAGGAGAGACTGCTCACCTCTGGAAAGAGAAAACACGTGGCAAATCACAGCTCAACCCTGCTAAAGGCAGCTGCCCATCCTCTGGCATGTCCTGCCTGCCTCGGGAAGGGCTGGGTATCGCAGCCCAGAGCTGGCTCTGGCTAGGGCAGCCCACTGAACAGTGAAGCACAACTTGGAGCTCGGCAGGGAAGCAGGAGTCAGCACCGAGTGGCTGAGAGTGGGTCCAGAGCCAACCACGCTTGAGTCCCACAGCTGCAAGCAGCTGTTGAGAGGCAGCAGCCCAGACTTTGCCAGTCCTGGAAAGAAGGCAAAGACTGTTCTGGCCAGAGGAGACAGGCAGGCAGGCAGGCAAGCAAGCCTACAGCAGCTGCAAGATGTTTCTGTTCTCCTCATCCCTCGAAAGAGCTGCTCTCTCTGCCTGCCTCCAGGTCTGGCAGAAATGCTCTGGGGAGCCCAGACAGCCCATTCCAAGAGCAAGGTCATCTTCAGGGATGGTATTATTCATCACAGAATCATAGAATGGTTTGGTTGGAAGGGACCTTAAAGATAATCCCGGTCCCACCCCCCTGCCACAGGCAGAGACATCGTCCACCAGACCAGGTTGCTCAAAGCCCCATCCAACCTGGCCTTGAACACTTCCAGGGATGGGGCATCCACAGTTTCTCTGGGCAACCTGTGCCAGTGCCTCACCACCCTCATTCACGCAGGAAGGGAGAAGACTTGCTATTTTAGTACCTTCAACATCTCTCTGCCCGTGTGACTCCAGCACGTTTAGCCAAGACACTCCATACCAGCCCCCTCGACTCCCCCAGCACAGAGAGTGCCAGCCAGGCAAGGGCTGGCTCCCTGCCGCCTTGCACGGGTGCCCCTGAGAGCCCTGGGGGTCCTGCCACCCAACACTAGGGGAGACTCTGCTTGCTGCCCTCTCGTGCCCACCTCCCTGCCAGATCTGCCTGGCACAGGCAGGAGCAAGCTCATTGCTGCTAGAGGACTTGCTGGGGAAGAAACACTGGGCAAACACTCTTACCTGTCTGCTGAATAAGCGCTGGAGTAATCCTTTTTTGGGCTGTGGAGAAGGCTGCCCTTTCCAGTCCAGGTCTGGGGGCACCGTGCCGTCTGTGCTAAAGACATTCAGCTCCTTAAAGCACTCCGTCTCGATCATCTGGAAGAGGGCAAAGATGGCTGCAGCAACTGCCACAGAAAGCCTGTCACTGAGGGCCCAGCAGAGCACAGGAGGAGCAGGGACGGCACGAACCCTGCGGGACACTACATTTGGCCATGGTGGGCACAAGCAGGAGCAAAGACCTGTCCTGTAAACCTACCTCATTCTGCCAAGGAATGGGGACACTTCCTGTAGCAAACTTCTGGTAGAAGTCATTGTCTGTGGGCTCCAGCTCCACCCCTTTCACCGTGGAGAACTGCTCGATGTCCAGAACATCCTTGCAGTAGATGGCCTGGGGCTAAACAGCACAAAGATTGCTCTAAGACCAGGCTTCACAACGGTGCCATCACCTCAATGATGCCATCACCTTTTGGCTCGTAGCCAAACCCAGGCCTCCTTTCCCTGCAGCCCAGAGGTTGTGTGACCCCTGTTCTGCCAGGCTCCAGAAACAAGAGGGAAGGGGATGGTCCCCATCTCCTCATGTGAACTGCTCCAGGGCTCTTGCTTCCCTTGACAGCACCAGTGACTGAAGAGGTCAGGATATAGACAGGCACTTACATCTGGCTTGAAGGGGGGGTCCAGCATGCCTGCTTCCAGCCTCCTGAAGTTGAGGTGCTTGAACAGAGGGTGCTCCTTCACTTCCTTGGCCCCAGCTCCTCGGCACCCCAGGCGCTCCAGAGGGTCTTTGCACAAGAGCTGCGACACAAAAAAAAAAAATAAATCAGTGCCCCAAGTGGAGGGCGCTTCAGGTAGGAGCAGCTCTGAGGTCGGCTGGGCTCCTGCAGAATGTCTCTAGGGATGACATGGGCCTGCTAGGCAGCTGGGAGAGCAAGGAATTACGGCACTCTGGACCCTCCTGTGCTGCTTTATCAGGGACAATGGAACCTGGCTGCCACCAGCATCTCTACAGGGAGCAGCCTTGATGTTCTCCTGCTGTGTGCAAAGAGGTGGTGGGAGGGAAGGGACAGGGATGCACACTCGTACCATGGTGCAGAGGGAGCGGGCGCAAGGTGAGAACTTCTCCGAGTACTCCTCCTGCACTTCCTTCACCAACCGCTCCACCTCTTCCCGCTTGATCTTCTTCTTGCGCTGCTGGAAGGGGGACTGTCCCTCGATCATCTCATACACCAGGCAGCCCAGAGCCCACCAGTCTGGGCTGAACGTGTAGCGCTCGTTCTTCACCACCTCCGGAGCTACATAGGAGCAGGGGTGAGGGATGTGTGAGGGCAGGGAGAGCACGTGTGCAGTCAGAGACCACTTTTTGATTAAACCAGGGCCACTTACCCATGTAGCCAACTGTCCCCACCCGGCCCTTGATTGTTTGGCCCTCCGGCACATGCACAGCTAGCCCCAGGTCTGAAATACGGATGTGACCTGCACAGAGGAGGGGGCAAGTTAACAGAACAAAGTCAAGGGGCAATGTTTGAAGCTGCCAAGTAACCCTGGTTCAAGCAGAGGAAGAGAGGAGGACTCAGGCCCAGGGCTCTTCTTGACCCTGCACTCACCGTGGTCATCCAGCAGTATGTTCTCTGGCTTCAGGTCCCTAGGAAGGAAGGGACTTGGTTAGCAAGAAGCCTGTTGTCAAAGCAAAGGACACAAGCAACTGCGACATCTCAAGAAGTCATAGATAAGCAGCAGAGAGACACAATGCCCCTGCCTCAGGCACACAGATAACCTTTCTCTCACCCTGTGCCCCAGAGTTAGCCCTGCAAGCTCTCCCCTCCCAGGCAGAGAGGGAGGTCATGACAAGCCTCAGCACCCCCCAAGGAAACAGTGAGCCTGTGACGGATTCCCTCTTTGCAGGTGCAAAACTCACTATGGGGCAGGCCATGCAAGAGAGAAGGAGCAGAGGCTTCTTCTGCTTCTCCTGCCCCAGGGCAAGGCACAGGGTAGGACCAGAAGGGACCTTCTGTCCCCGTGTTTAGCCACGCTGTCCCTAACGCTGCATCACACAACCCGGTGAGTACAGTCATACAATCAGCTAGTTCTCCCTCCTGCCCAGCTCTAGGTCTTGAGTACTGGGACAGCCTACCCTCCTTTGTTCTAGTGTCAATACTGCCTGGGGAGTTAAGCACCCCTAGTGCCTGCCCTGAGGCATTCACAGAATGATCACATCCTGTTCTTGGCGATCATTTACCAGCATGAGGAAGCCAAGTTAAGCTTTCCCGTGAGATCAGCTTTCTGTTCCTGATCCCCTCTCACTCAGCTCTGTGCTGCTTTCAAGCCTGAGCTTATTTTCATGAGCAGACTGGCCTAGCTGGGCTAGTAAGAGTAGCAGGAACCCTCTTGCTTCTGCAGCCCGTACAAGGTCTCGCAGCAGGGACCAGGCAGCGCGCACCTGTACACTATCCTCTCCTGGTGCAAGTCCTCGAGGCCGCAGCAGATCTCGGCAGCATAGAAAGCTGCCCGGGGCTCCTCGAAGCCAGCCTCTCCCATGTGGTAGATATGGAACTTGAGGTCCCCTCCATTCATGAGGGTCAGCACTAGGCAGAGAGCATCTTTAGTTTCATATGCATAGGCTAAGCTCACCTGCAATTCAGGGCAGAAAGGCTGTTAGAAGACACAGCTGGAAGAGGGAGGTGCCCCCACTCTTATCTTATGGGCACTTTGTCACCCAAGTGGTCACTCATGGGCAGGAGGACTGGGCCTTTGCCAGCAGAAGAGGCAGAGGGGGAACTGCGCAAACCCAGGGAGGACATGGAAGTGCCCAGCAGCCCCAGCATACCGCCAGCTTTCCTCAGACAGGGAGGAGAGGATACTATTTCCCTGAGTCAGAACTGCTTCCCTCTGGGGGCAAGCAGCACCCAACAGCAACGCTTGGGCAGCATCTGATGAATCTTCCGTAAAGGGAGGTTTCAGGCTGTGCACACCTCACTGCAGCTGGGGAGAGAGCTCCCCACCACACAGCTCAGGGCTATGCTTCTGCCCACTTGGCTGTCTGGAGAGACAGTTCTCACTGCTTTTTTGTGTCCCAGAGGTTTAGAAGGTGCCTGTGAGACCAGGTGGGCGTTTGGGCCTGACTGTGGGGGCATTTACAACATCTTGTGGAAGCAGAAGGAGGTCCTGCCAGAATCCAGCCTTGTGAGAGACCTACAGCCACCAGGACCCTACTCCATGGGCAGGGCCTGCTCCCACCTCTCCAGACTGGGTGAGGAGCAGATGTGTGGGGCCAGCTGGTTGGAGGAAGAATCAACCACTGCAGCAAATTGAGAGCAATTCCTATGTACTTACTACAAACCTACTGTTCACTTTTTCCAGGATCTGTTTCTCATTCAGGGCCATGGCCTCTCCCTTCCGCTTTTTGATCCGTTTCTTCTCCAGCTTCTTGCAGGCGTACATCTTCCCTGTGGCACGCACTTGGCAGGCACAAACCTAGAGGGGGGACAAGGCTCAGCACCCTCCTGCTGCTGTTTCCAGGGTGGGAGTCTAGGTTCTGCTCTCAGGAAGAGGCACGGGACAGCAAAGATGTCCCTGTCCCCACCTCACTCGGAGGTTAGCGAGAAGCTAAAGCTAAAGCAAGGACACAGGGAGCAGTGACATCTCCAGATGTCACAAATAAGCAGCAGAGGGCTGCGATGCCCCTGCCACCTATAGCAGCGTCATGGTTGGTGCCTGGGAAGACAGAAGGCCACTCCAGAATCAGAAGGAAGCCTGACAGTGAGTTTTCAGAGATGCAGTTTCCCCTTCCAAGACACTGGGAACAGACGTGACTCTGCCCGGCTGGCAGTATGCACCACAGGGCATGTGTTACCTACCCTGCACACCTCTCCAGGCACTGGAGGTGTGGGAGAAGGGAGCTCCTGCCCCTCAGAGGGGAACTGGCAGATCACGCAATGCCCAGAGCACAGCAGTGCCCAGCGCGGAGTCCTCAAAGCTCACCCAGTCAGCAGCACCTGCCTCCAGGTGCTGCAGCAGCTTGTGGCACCCCGATGGCCAACCCAGGTGAGCATCTGGCAGCAGCAATAGTGGCTGCCTGGTACCCTGAATGAAGAGGAAATGGTGGTCACTCACCTCCCCGAAACCGCCCTTGCCCAGCACACGGTACTGGCGGAAAGTGTTTTTGGTCACTGGCTGCCTGTGAGGGAAAGGAAATTAGAGTGAGATGGGAGCAGGGGGAGAGCAGGGGCTGAAGCCCGAACCACCCCCATGCCCTGGCCTGAAACGGTGGCTCATCCCAAAACTCCTGATCAAGCAGACCTTACTTCCTTGCGAGGCAAGCAAGGCTAGGGCTGCTGATGGTGCCAATAAAGGGCCCTAAAGGAGAGCAAGAGCAGACAAAGGCCAGGTCCTTGGCTCCTGCCAGGGCCCAGCACAGGAAGGAGCCCGAGGGACCCTCTCAGGCAGCCTGTGTGAGGAGGGTGCAGGACTCTCAGCGATGCAGGGGAGCGTTACCGTTCCAGCCATTTCCACTGCAGGAAGCGGTTGAAGTACAAGCTGTCGAGGTAGTCAGCAAAGGGAGCCACACTCAGGTAGTCGTGGATAAGCCTAGGAGAGAGCAGAGCCAGCAAGTTTCCTGAGAGCTGATCGCATCCATCGAAAAAGCCAGCAGTCCAAGGAAAGTGGAGGTGAGCAGCCCTGAGAGCCCATTTACTTTGCCATCCCCTCATCCAGCCTGGTGCTGAATCACCCACATAGCCCTGGCCCAGAAAGCCCCCCTCCGCGCTAAGCCTAATGCAAAAGGAAAGCGCGTTGGAGGTACAACTGTGACAAACACAGCACCCTGGGACCGGGCTGGCACTGCTAATTGTGGCCTCTCAGCACCAGCATGGGCTGCAGGACAAAGGGGGACGATGGGACTCTTTGCAATTGCCCCTCTGCTCACAGGGCAAGTGCGCACACAAGGCTCTAATCAGCTGCCGAAAGCTGCTAGCAATGTTCAGCACCAGGCACTGAGTTGTTCACTTTCAGATGAATATCCAGCACAAAAGGCCACAGGGGATCCTACTCAAGAGAGCTAACTGCCTTGGAGACCGGTGCCAGGGCTGCCCAACGGAGTAAAGAGCCTTAGACATAGTGTCTAGACTGGAGACGTGCATCAAGGAGAAGCGGATGGGCTCTTCCCCTTTCATAGCTTGCCAAGAGCAGGCAGGGCCCAGCCCGGAGGCTCTGCATTCAGACAGTGACACTAGTTACCACACACAGAGCTAACGCTCCCCAGAAGACTGCAGCAAATCCATTGCCACAGCCCTGCACTCAATTAGGCAACATGCTCCAGCTACTGTTCAGGGAGGGGTGGAGGCCATAAGCCCGGTTTGCTTAATAGCTTCCGCTCCGCACCCGGAGCCAGGATCTCAGCCACTGTTTCTGCGATGGGAACAGAAGTGACCTTAGATCCCTGCAGCAAGAGCGAGCGTAACCTAACCACAACAGCCACATCTGTGGCCAGCGGGAGAGGACAGCTGGCACCGGGACTGCAGCTGGCAGCTCTGCTCTACGGGTGCCTACGAGATCCTGGCACAAGACTGGGAACAGCATGGCCAGATGCTGAGGCTTGCTGAAATCGGGTCTTCCCAAATGGCAACTCAGACCCATGGCAGACTGAGAGGAGTGACAGAGGTTTCTGCAGCAGCTTGTGACTCCCAGAGCCCACGGGAGCTCCTTGCACTTGCCTTCCTCTAGCTGTGCTGCAAACTGCTATCCCAAAACTCCCCAGACCCCAGCCTTAGCACCAGCCCTCACTCTCCTGGTGGAAGGGACCACGAGGGACGAGGTGAGTTAGCTGCAGCATCAACCCTGTGCCATGGTGCGACCTGCAGGCAGGCCCCAGACCTCCAACCTACTTAGTGGATTCCTTGAAGAGTTCCTTGGAAGGTTCCTGCTCCAGCCTCTCACAACAGGCATCCACCAGCTGCGAGGGAACTTCAGGCACATGGTCCTCACTCTGGGGACAAAGGGATGGAGTCAGATATAGGGAGCAGAGCCCAGGGGTCCTGCCAGGAAGGAGAAGCCCACAGGAACAGCACACAGGTGCCCATCTGCTTTAGGGCCAGTGGGAAAAGCAGAATAGTTGCTTGTGAGGTGGTGGAGTGGCTCTGTACTCTGCCCTCACCATCCTGCCCAGCACGTTCGCTGTGGCAGGACATGGGTAATGACAGCTGTCAGCTTTCCAACTGTTCTACCGTTGCAGGCAGCAAACACAACCCTCTTACTCACGTTTGGCTTCAAGTACTTTTCAATCAGGCGCTGCCCGCATTCCTTCCGCTTCTCATCTGGAGCCACTTCGTACCCTGCCTGCGCAGAGCAAACAGTGTGAGGAGCAGGTCCAGCCAGGAGCCAAGCCTTGCTACCAGGCAACAGCTGCAGAGCAGAAACACCCTCTGCCCAAGGTTTCCCATGCTTTCCTGGAAAATCAGATCTCCAGCAAACAGCTCTCTAAGCAAAGGCCCAGCCCTATCTTTGAGAAACTGCAACTCACAGGTTTTTCCTTCAGGGAAACCCTACATGCCCAGAAGTACCTGGCAACTGCTGGAGCATCCAAGGCCAGAAGAACATCCCTGCCTCCCCCAGTGAAGCCTTATGGGCTCTGCTCTTACCACGGCATCCAGGAACTTGACGCAGCGTGACAGCTCAGGTCGCGTCTCGCAGAACTGCCGAAAGAGCATGTGCCCGATGGGCTGCTTCTCACACAGGCTGTGGTAGTCCCGCTCTGCAAATGTGGAGAAGATCACTCGCTGCCAAGCCCCAAAGGTGCAGCCACAGCCCACAGCCCTGGCCACATGCAGCTGTGGAGGGGCTTGTGACACATGAGCTGGCTGCTCACAGGTCCCACCAGCCTGAGGCTCCCAGGAGAGTGAAACGCACCCAATGGGGACAAGAGACATGACTGAGCTTTTACATTCCCCTATGGAAGATCTTCCCTGAAAGAGGTTTGACCTGCTGTTCTGTACAGCCTGCTCCTCTTGTTTCTAGCAAGGGACCTTCATGTCTCCTGCTTGCCTGGAGGCCCTCTTCTCAATCCTCTCCCCACAGAGATCAACTGACTACTCCAGACACACAACTTTCCTTGGAACATGAGGAACACACCGAGCTTATTTCGAGGCAGATCTTCCACACCAAGAGTTGCTCTGATGACTCTTACAAACCGCTCATATTCCCAAAGGCCCAGCACCGAATTGGGAGGCACTATTTCCACAGATGTCCTGTTAATGCTGCACACAGCAATTAGACCTCTCCACTCCATGGCACAGCCACTCGCTTGTATGTCAACTCCTACTGCCCTCTGGAGCTTCGCTTCCCTGCTGATTCCTCCTACCCCTCTCTGAAGTCTGGCAGCCCAGGCACAAACCCCTTTGACTATCCAGAGCACTTCCAGTTCTCCACTTTTTTTTTCTCCCCTTCCACTCATAAGACATTGTCTGATCGCTGGCCAGAACAGAACTGTTCTGAGGGCTGGGGTGCAGATGTGCAACCGTCTGTTGGCGCGCAGGGGATCTTCCAGCACTGGGTACTGCCGGCCTTCCCCTTCCCGTGCAGCAGTTTCTCCCAAGGAAGCTGCAGCTTCCTGAGGGTGCACGACAGTGCAGAGACGGTCGGGCTGCGGTGGGGGAGGAAGCCGCCTTGCCAGCTCCGCCACACTGGCTGCTTTCCTTCTGTCTGCAGGGGAAGGAGTTCCCTTCAGCTGGGGAGGACAAGAGTTTGCTGCCAGTGAGATCAGAAGTTTTCGGCTGCCCTTGCCGCTGCCCAAGCTCACACAAGGTTGCTCCCTGTGGTCAGGGCACACAAAGCTTAATTCTGCAGTGGGCAACCAGCCCACCATGCCCTCAGTCCTGCCAAGCCTCTGGAATAGGAAAGAAATGCTTTTCTAGCAGGCTGCAAGGGGAAAACAAAGCCACTCCAGCCAAAGACTGACCCAAGCACGAGGAACGGGCTCACCTCTCCCATGGGGAAACCAAGCAAGGTGTCTGCCACCTGGGCCAGAAGCATTTCTCACGTGCCTCCCGAGGGGGAAGCGGGGACATGGGTGGTGACAGCTGGTTGCTGAGAGGGACTTGCCTCCCAAAGCTTCACAAGATCACTGTCCCGGACAGTAGGACAGCAGAGACAGACAGACCACCAGCACTCACCAATGGCAAATAGGCAGCACAACAAAGATAAAGTTCAGTGCTGGAAAACATGCCATGACACCGACAGGAAGGGCAGCTGCAGGCAGAGGACAGACATCAGCTGAGGGAAAGCTCTGCTGAGGACACACAAGTCAAAGAAGCAGATAGGGGTTTGAAGGGCCAAGTTGGGAGCTGAAAGGAGAGCCCAGGCCAGAGCTGGGCTCAGTGCTCAGAACTTGCTCCAGAGAGGCAGTCTGCAGCAAACCCAAGGCGACAGTCTCCATCTGACTACACTCGACGGCGAAGCTGGCCCTGAGAGGTGGTGCCAGGTGTGCATGGCAGCAGGGAGGCGGTGCACAGTGTGCACTGGGCTCTTGTGAGCTTGGAGGTTACTGTGTGGATGATGGAGGTTGCGCTATTCCAAGTGCTGCATTCCCATGTGCCCTCAAAGGGAGCCACCCTTCTCCTTCGGGCTGCCAGGACCTGGAAAGCCTGGGCAGGGCAGAATTGGGGACTGGAGCTGCAGAAACCTCCCAAACCCACTCAGCCCTGTGACACCTGCTCTGAAATAAGGCCAGCACTGTGCCACTCTCCAGCTGGCAGCTGAATCCAGAGTGACAACTTAAACAAGCTCTTCCCTTCCCAGCAAGCAGAACAGTCCCACCCTCTGTGCCCCAAAACAATTTCACATGATCTCAAGACCAAGCCTCCTGCACAAACAACATTAAAACCACGAAGAGTACAAAGTGCAGTATTAAAATGACAGGCAAAGCCCTGCCCAACTCTACAATTCTCATCCATACCGCACAGCAAGAACACTTTTGCCTGAGAAAAGCTGCTGCAACAGTGTTAGAAGCCGAGGTCTGCTGAGCAGGGCTGAATCCCAGCCAGAGAGTCCAGAGGACGTTAGCAGGATCTTTGTTATTTAGGCAAAGGTACCCTAGTGCGATGCTCCAAAACTCTGCAACGCCGACCAGGTCTGTTTGCACAGAGAAGGTGGTGTATCTCTAGTGAAGCCCTTCACAGTCTAGGAAGTCTGTGGGTATATCAACAGGCACTATCCAGCGAGTGCAACGAGCTGCAACTCACCGACCCATCGCTTCATCCCTACACCCCAAGCTCCAAGTGAGCCCGGCTGGCCCTCTTATATGTCCCTAAGCCTCGTGGGACTCGACTTTGGGTGCACAACACCCACCCACACGCTCACCCACCAGCACCGCACTGGAGCAGAGCCCAGGCACTGCGTCTCACCGAGGGTTTGTCGAAGATCCTCGCAGAGGCTGATGTGGGGGAACTGCAGCATCTGGCGCCATTTCTTACTCTTGCCTTTCCGGTTTCCGCCACCACCTGCAGGGCACACAAAATTGGTACCATGAGTTATGAAGCAAGGACGTCCAATTGCAGCCTAGCCTTGTCAGGAGCCAAGAGAGGAGACACCCTCTGTCCATTTACAGAAGCAAGCCCAGGCAAGGAAAACAAGACCGAAGTGGTACTGCCGTCTCCTGGCTGGTGGAACAAAAATGTTAGAGCCTCTGACTGCCAGAGGAAGGAAATGGACCAACCACTCTGGCTGCTGAACAAAGCCCCAACCAAGAACATGAAGACCTTTCACCTGGACATCTCGGTGACTCGTATTTATGATGGGAGAATCACAGCAGGGGCAGGAGTGCCTAAAGCCACAGGTTACTCCATCCCTGCACAACAGTTCTTGGCTCTCAGGCCTGTCCTCAGGACCTCTGCATAACTAATCACCTCTTGAGGCCAAGCCTTGCTCAGTGTGAAGCTCTTCCTGCTGTAGCAACGATGTTCATGCCACCCACTCATTCCAGACTGATTTCTTACTCCAGGGAGGGGCTCTCAGAGAGAGGACATGAAGCTGGGAGACAGGAATTCCTGCTCTAATCCTGGCTCCACAGACAACTCACTGCCTTGCCTGGGGCTCATCACTTCAGTTTCCCACCTGTGAAGTGGGGACACTCCCACCTTTCTCCAGAGATAAGCCAGCCTCAGAAAAGTGAGATCCAAGAACCAGATATTATTCTAACTTCAGTTGCTGGAGTAAATGCCCAGTGCTGTAGGACAGGGTGGGAAAGCTTCTAGATAGACCAAAAAATTTACATCATAGCAAGCACCAAGTACTGGAATAGTGATTGCTGGGATCAGCCAACCTCCAGCGATTGCCTTCCTCCTGCCCCGTGCCAACATACACACACAATTTCCCACCTCCCTTTGGAAATACATTAAACCACTCTGCTGAGTTGGGCCAAAGGCACGGCTTTCTGAAATCAGGGGGAGGTTGAATATCATTTATCAGCTCTTGAGAAACCCTTTCATAACACTTTCCTCCACTGCGGATGCAATTCAGCCCCAAATCCTAGACACAGTCCCCAGGTATTCAGCTCCCTGTGCCGCAGGAGGCCTTGGTTGGACAGGTAGGTGGGACGGGGCCACCACAGCCAGCCTTCTGCAGGGCCAGCCCCAGGTCCGAGCCCCTAGCACACTGCGGGTCGCTGCGCTACATCTGCCCCGCACCAGCAGCTGGGCTGCACGATTGTACAAACTCAGGAAGGAAGTGACTCAAGGGTAAGCCGGGGTGGAAGAAACCAGCAGCACAGACACCTTCTTGTCAGCCACAGCTTGCGGCAGCGAAACGGATGGGGCCAGCTAAGTGAGGGCATCCTCACCCCAAGAGCACTCAAGAAAAGGCAGAGCAATGCCCCGCAGCACCCACAGGACGAGGACTGGGAGCTTGCATTTCCTTGAGTTGTTTGCTTTGGAAGGAGGCTCCAGCGCCCTTCACGCACGGTTCTCCTCCGCCCTCTCGGCACCACAGCAAACAGCCCAGCAGAGAACTTGTCTCCTGCACACCAACCTCCCAGCACCCTCATTTTGGGGATGGGGCAAGGGGTGGGCTGCCTCCACCCAGAGCTCACCTGAAGGGAGCTTCAGGGCTTGGTGATAGCTCAAAGCTGGTCTATTGTCCCTCTGCCAGAGGCCAGCAGGCAAAGGGGACAACGGGGGAAGGATCCCTCACCTTCCCTGGGCCAAACCCTCCTAGAGGAATTTGAAGGAAACATACAGCACGGTCATCCTACGGCAGCAGCTGAAGATGGCTGTCAGCAGGCCCCCCAGCACATCCAGGGTGATCTCAGCCCCACACTCCCACACCAGACCAGGAGGCTCCCAAAAAGGCTGGGCTGCAGCAAAGCAGCACCTGGTGCTGCTGGACCTGGCCAGCAAAGCAGCTCTGTCCTGTCACACAGGCTGCCAGATTTTTTTTTTGCCAGAGCTTGCCCCAGTGGCCACCATGGCCACCCAGCCATGGGAGAGCTGTGGACAGGCAGCGCAGCCACCCATGGCTCTTGCAGGCCAAGAACCGTCTGTCACGAGGATACCAGTGGATCGTATCTGCCTGCAGCCAAACTGGCCATCGCCTGCCAAGGGAGAGGCACCAGAGGAGCACTGGGAAGTACCGCAGCAGCCGTCCGACGCCTTGATCTGCATCAGCAACCAAGCTCTGCTCTGCCAAAGGCACAACAGGAGCCAGTCTCCTGGTCACTCACTCTGTGTGAAGTAAGGTCTCATGTCTAGAGGTCACAAATGCTGCCATTTGGTTTTGTTTGGATTTGGTTTTGAACCAAACCTTGCCATTATGAACCATAATGTCATGGTCCACCACGGTCACCATGCTTGAAGTACCTACACTAAGCCTGATTTTCTACCTACACTAAGCCTGATTTTCAAGCAGCTCAAAAATGTTTCTGCCTGTGTAAATGTAATTTCGTTGCTCTTTGCTCCCACAAATCTAATCTCTAAAGCCCTCTAACTGGATTTCAGTGGGCCCCTCAGGCTCCAGAATGACTTGGTCTGGCCAGACATGCATCATGGGCCAGGAGGGACTATAATTCCCCACCACTTTACGTGATCTAATGAACTCCCCGACGCCTGGCTGAATCAGATCTCCTCTGCAAAGGACCAGGCTCCTGTGTGACTGACTTCCCAGACCTCTCCTTAAGCCATCCCGAGGCTCCTCTGTACAGCCCCCCAGTACCTTCAGGACAGCCCAGCTGCTGGCAGGCTGCATCCCACAGCGAGGCCCTGGAATTCAGCCGTGACCCCCGAAGCAGCAGGAGGTTTGTGGGCCCGCAGCAAAGCTCCTGGCGCTGAGTAGACCAAGGGCCAGGGTTGGTGTGAAGGTGGTGGAGGGCTGGGGCTCACGGCCACAGTTTTGGGATCGGCCCTTGTGTGGGAAGCAGCAGTTTACCAGCCTGAAATCAACTTTTTTCTCCCAATATACCCAAAGCTGCTTTTCCCCACTGCCACAGG